AAAAAAAAAAAAAAAAACCCTCCATGATATGGTGAGATAATTCACGCTGCTTAATAGAATTTAACTGGTTATATAAATTTTCTAGGATAAGGTGAGAATTTGTGACTCTTTTTTTACACTCTTTTCCTTTTAAGCAGCAAAGACTGACACAACACTGACATCACCTTTTAAGCTGATTTAACCAACTAATCACCTGGTGAAAACTCCCTCTCTTTCAACTCTGTTTTCGGTCTTTATCAACTAATGAAAGGAATTTTCTTTGGCTCTTTAGCTGCTAAATGCTCCATTATGTCCAGCTGCTACATGTTGTCAGCTCGGTGTTCACTGCAGAGCCAGCAGTGAGAGTTTTTAGATGCTTTGAGACCAGTGAGAGTGAACCAAAAGAGAAAAATTGTAAACCTGACAGCTAAACACCCAGCTGGAGCTCATTTTAAAGCTCTGTAAAGTTGAGGGGAGCTGCAGATTCATTATTACAAGCAACCTTTTTTCACATTGTCACGTTGTTTAACAGTTCAGTACAATATCAATTTTAGCTGCATCCCGGTTCCCTCAGCCATTTCTTAAAAGCCAGAAAAAGACAGAAGCAGGTTAAAGTCGTCTAACTAAACTGAAAGAATGCAGAAAATATCTACTTAATTAACCAGCGTGCGCCAGCTCCACCATGACCAGTTTACACAACAAAGTGTAGGTAATGATAATCTATTATGTGATGTATGGAAACATTCACATGGAGGATGTGTATAATGTGCACAGTGAATGACTTTTACTTCAAGCTAATGCACTGATAACACTCACAGTATTATATAGTGTGCTGGAAAATGTAACTGTGAAAATATTATTTTGGAAGCAGGGGCACCAAAAGACACAATAAATTGACCAAAAATAACCATGTCATAAAAATAAAGTAATTTTCAAAACAAAAATAGAATTTCAGGCCTTATTTACCATGAAATTGTGTGCATTTTTTTTTTTTTACTATTTAATGTATAATGTAGAATATTTGCATGTGCAAAAACAATGAAATTGCCTATAATATATATTAATGATAGATAGATAGATAGATAGATAGATAGATAGATAGATAGATAGATAGATAGATAGATAGATAGACAGACTGGTGAAAACACATTCATTCAGCATTTTTCTTTGTGTGGAAACATCCGTAATTCTCTCATGTAACAAACAAGTCTATGTAAAATTGAAGAGTTCATTTGCAAAAACAGATAACTCCAAAAAAAACGTATTTTTTTGTCGTTTGCTTGAGATAATATCAGTCAAACTGAAGTTGAGTGGATTTGACTCAGTAGAAATGACATGACAAAGATAGAGACAACTTAAGTTTGATTGATAGTTTCTCAGGTAGACGATGGAAAAGGGGGTTTTCGGAAGGTTTGTGAAGATGCAGTTATCAGTTGTTGCAAGTGAACTCTTCATTTACAGAACTGCTACTTTTTTTTCTGGTAATTGTCTGAATTGTGTCTAATCTTAGACATATATTTAAAGTATTTAACTTGAATTGAACAGTTTCACATAATAAATTAAGACTAAATATTTGTGAAATCAGGATACATCACTAGCAGTCTTTTTAATGTCAAAAATGTTAAACTTTATCTAAAATAGTGGACATTTTGTGGTTATTTACAGTTACTGTTTCTGTATTTTTACTGTTTATGCAAAAAAAAATCGACAAATTAGAAAGGACAACTTTTGCAAAACATTTAAAAGGTTTTTTGTATTTTTATTTATTTATTTAATTTTTTTTTAACAGTTTATTGTAATTTAATGTAAATACTACTTTGAAAGCATTACTTTTACTTATATTTTGCTTTTATTTATATGTAATAGTTTCACATTATGGCACTGAAGATCGTACAGTAAAGGATCATAACACTCCTTCCAGCACTGACCATCGGATTTCAAAGCACACGGAGAGCAGTCTGGGCCGGCTGCTCATAAGTTTGAGAAATCATGCTGTCTCTGTGGACCTGCATGTGGCCTGTGGGGATGCCCTCCAGCGAGAGTGTTAATAGTCTGCATTTATAGGGAGAGATGCCCCCTGCTCTCACCGCTCAGGGGGGAGGGATGGATCCAGTGGATGGGCAGTTGCTGGCAAATCTCCCAGATCTTGGAGTCGAGGAGGAAGGCCGGGTTAACGATGGGCTCCTCTGCAGGAACCCACACTTGGGAGTCCTCCACCTTCAGATCCATGGCCTCAGTCTCATCCACCTGCTAGAAAACAACACGAGCATGCACACACAGACACACACGCGCACACACACACACACACTCTCATTTGTTATGTATACACATTACAGCGCATGTCAGAGCTTTCTAAAATGTCTGGGCCCCACACAAAGTACAGTCCTGCATTTTCACTCTCCTCCCCTGAGCCACGCAGCGGCTCCAGCCTCGTCGTTTTATCTATCACCTTTCTGTCTGCTGAGAGGACAGCAACTTCCTGACTCCTGACTCCCACTGCCCCGACTCCCTCCTCTTTCGCTCCCTCACCCCCTTCTCAAGCCTCCGGCATGCTCCTTCTATTATACATCATTGAAATTCACAGACAGTGATGATTTGACTTTTAAATGACTTTAGAAGTGGTCTTCATTACTCTGAGTGTGGCTGCAATATCGTTTAATGTGACAGACACAATAAAGCCTTGCATTCTCCTTCCTCCCTCCCCCACATCCCCTCCC